ACCTGAAGCACATGTGCTCTTCCCCAGAGCGAAACCTGCTTTTTACACCTCTGACGGGTGTACGGATCGACCCGCTCGCAAACCTGCATCTCTGATGAATTCAATTTGACAGTTTATGAAGCGGAACGTAAGATCTCCCCACCCCTGCAGAGAGTTTACAGCACACTCACACAGCTGGGCCGTTCTGCTCACGTTCAGCTGGATGTTTATGATGTACCTGTGAGTCCGGATGGGAATAGATGGGCTTCAAGAAAACGTGACGCCAAAATTGAGCTTATTTTCTTTCTTAACAAATGTCCTTAGTCTTAATTTAGTCTTCATTAGTGCACATTATACTAATGAAAAAATGTCCATCAAAAAATCAATTTACTCAGCTAAAACAGATGTCCTATCCTGATGATGTAAGCAAGGCCTTGTGGGCGGGGAAACATAATATTAACCAACTAGATACTGAGTGTTGCTTGTCTGTACAAAACATTGAATGACAGGGGCTCTGGGTGGTTTCTTGGGCTTTGTCTGGTTCATAGGAATTTTCCAGTAGGTTGCTAGGGCTTTGCTAGGGCCAGTGTTGCCAAGTCCACAGTTTTCCAACGAAATTGGGCTACTTTTTTTTTTTACTGTCCTCACCTGGTCTCATGGCAAAAACATACCTGGGGGCACTTTTCCGCGAGACGCAAAATACATACCAATAAGTACATGTCACTGCAGTTTCCAAAATAAATGAACACTAGAGGCAGTAAAACTCTGACACCTTTTATTCCTTTTCACACAAATTTACAGAGTTTCGATTAATAAAGTGTAATTTTCGCACAATTACTTGAAAAATATTATGTTATGACTTCAAAACAATATTAATATGCTGGGAGATTTGAAAACTGATGCTTTTGAATGTTAGCATCACACATATCCAGCGTCATATCTATGGGTTTTCATAGACGTGTACGGAGATGTACTTGAGAGGTGAGGAGCTCCAGTTCGAATCCCGTGTAACTACGGTTCGACAAAACCGTTCAAATCTGCGTATAAGGAATTTCAAATGGAACGGTTGCATCAACAAATGCGTTTTTGTATCAGTTTTGCATTTGTTAACACTATCAGGTAGGTTTAGGGTTGGGTTTGGTGTAGGGCATATTTCCAACATGGATATTTGAATTCTGAACCGCCGCAATACGTACCTGAAGCAACGTAATAAAAACACAGCAATACGTACCTATAACAACGTAATAAAAATGTGCCAGGGTTGAAGTATTGAACCCGTGTTTTAGCGCCACTCAGTAGACATTTCTCTTTGAAACGGCGGCGAAACGTGCAGTAAGGAACGCAAAAGTGGTGTTGCAGAAAAGTTCCCAGAGGTACGTATTTTTATGAGACCAGGTTGGTTGCCGCAGGTTGTTTATTTAGTCCATGGGATGAAGCGAACCACCGGAATGCAATTTCGACCCCCACCCCACCGTACCTGGAATGTGATTTTGACAGCCAGTTTCCCCTGGGCTAGTTTTTAGTAGCAGTTGGGCCGTTTTTTTAAGCAGACCTGGCAACCCTGGCTAGGGCTTGACTAGAGCTGGGGACACAATATACAACTGGAACATTCTAAAATTGAACTCAACACACTTAAAGTTAAATTGTTTCCATTGACTGGAGCAGATTCTAGTCTTTGACAGTAAGAAAGGAGCACAAACCTAATGACTGAATCAGTCCATTACACGACACACTTAATGACTGGTGCAAGTCACGACTGGGCAAATTCTGCCGGGAAAAAAAAATCTCATGATAATTTAACTGCATACCAAAACCCGTACCAAAGAAAAAACATGGATGTCAACAGACAGCTAGCAGTATTTATTTGCTGTGCAATTTGTGCAGAAAAAGGAAAAAGTTTAAAAAGTCTGATTATATGATTTACCAGCTGCTCCCATCCCACCAAAGACAACACTGCACACAGCGGTGCTTTTATTGAATTATTGAAACATTCAAGGTTTGTTTTTCTTAGTTCGTGCTTAACATTATCTATCCTCTTATGTTGGTGTTGTTAATAAATATCACAGCAATGTGTCTTGAATATTGTTTTCATTATTGCCAGAGTAGACGTGTCTTTCATGTCTTTTCAGATATATTTAATTTTGTTCATTATAACATTTCTAGCTCTGTTTTTCAACTTATAGTCAAGCAATAATATATTTGTCATTCTCATGTATGGCTGCAATCAGGTATTAAAAATGAATAGGTTCTAAGCAAAAACGATAGGCTTTTTTGTTGCAGTTCCAGAATTAAATAATTACTGCTCCATTTATTCAGACACAACAGTCATTAAAAATTGCTGTTTGTCTCTTTAATTTTTTTTAGTGGTCTACAGCAAATGTTAATGCTCCCAGTGCTATTAATAACACTGCTCGCCAACTGTTGACAGAAGAGCTGCAGAGTTATTCAATGCACTGTAATTTCCTCATCCATTGACACAAAACTATATTATATATAATTACATTATTTTATTTACAGGTGTCATTTTTTTAACTCACTATGAACAATATTTTAGACTGCAGATCGAAATAAAAGTAATGTTTTTGAAATGATAGAAATCACTAACTATTCTTAATTTATTTCACTTTTTTCGACTGCAGAGCAAACGAATAGCCTAAATCCTTGCAACGTGATCTTATGAAATTAAAGAAACATCAAAACAAGATGTGTAATCAAGAAATAATATTTGACAAAATTAATGAGTTATGTTTGACACATGCCCATATGCAATCACTGGCATCAGTTGCAAATATTATACATTTAGAAAAATCTTTGTGAAAATGACTGGCAACAACGGTTTCTTGAATATTTAAGATTTTAATATTTTTCAACACCACACATAACTTCATCTGCTGACTGAGCCCAACTGAAAGAGACCCGGTCCGTCTGGGAATGATCAGTAGTCAAGCCTATTACATTCATTCAATTACATTCAGTTACATTCATAATAGTTAGAAAAGTAGTATTAAATCTCTTCTCATCAAAGAATGAGGAATGGTTTCTAGTTGCCTTCTGTAAAACAGCAACAGCTGCCTTAGCAAGCACCGGTAATACCATTGCCTTACATTACAATCCAATCAAGACATCCCGCCAGGCAGTACATTATACAGAGCTAAATATTCAGTTGCGCTTGAAAATGTCACATGACAGAAGTTACATTTATTGTGAATGCTTTTAATGTTCTTCTCAACACACTTTTCTGCCTGAGTTCAGTTTTACGGTGAAGATCAGCCGTATTGTCTTCTAATTGGTGGGTAATTATGGGCAAATCGTTGCTTAATTTGCTGCTGTTATTTGCATTGTATCCTGATGATCACTCAGAAAAACACACAGAGGGAAGAAACTGGCAGTGTTGATGTGGTAATGTTAGAGCATACCTCAATATATCTTTCACAGCATCCAGGTGGAAATACTCACGATAATAAGAGGTGAAAGGTTGTGTCATTTTATATGCTTTCACTCGCACGCACACACTTCAGCTTATCAAAAACGAAAAGATCCCTGTCCTTCTTGCTATTCAGACACATGCACACACACGCTGTAAGTTGATCTGTCGCTAGGGAGTGTGTGTGTAACGCTGTGAGCAGCTTGAATGCATTTGTAACGACATCTCTTGTGCAAGCATACGCACACAGCGAACAGTGGACCTGCATCTGTAACAACACATAGACCCTCGGCAGTCCTGCTAATCACCTCAAAGAGCCTGACCTCAGTGTTGGCCCCCTCAGGGTTTCAGCTCCACCAGGAGGCCCAGTCAAACTCAATGGGCAGAGCAGTGAATGGGCCCTATGGTGGAGCTGCGTGATGGGGCCCAGGTTTCAGCAAAATACACAAAACCACTTCAAAAAGTTCCATTGATGTCCGTCAGGGAACAAAGGCATTCCTGATGCATGAGTGTTCGCAGCTGGCTATCCAGTAGCTTTCAGGACTGCTTTTATAGCTGGACCCACGTCGTGATGCATTCAAGTCCAGCTACTTCCTGTTTCTGTGCTACACAAAGACGTGCAGCAACATTGTGCAAATCTAGTCCAAATACAATGTAAAAACCTGGAGAAAATGTATGTTTTTGGATGATGCCCACGGTGTGGGCTCTGTGGTGGAGCTGCAAGCTGGGACCTACTTATTTCTGCTGTCTGTCTTCCAAAACAAACACAGCTCTCAAAATAATGATGTCTGGGGGAAAATGACTTGTGAAGCTGTGTCAATATTTACAGCCTTATTCTTTTCTCCGTCTTACCCTACCCTTTCATGTGTGACCCAACACACACACACACACACTGTTTTTGTTCATCTCTCTCTCCTTCACACACATTTTAATTAGGATTCAAATGACTTTGTTAAATGACATGGAAGTCAAATGCTACCAAGTCATTGTGATTCAAAGAGGATCAGCCTGGCAAAATAAATACAGAGAGTCTGATACCATCACCGCTGTTTCCACACAATAATTAATAAGTATAGTAATTTCTATAGTGTTTATTCATTTTGAGATAACATAATTATACAAACTCTCTCTCTCTCTTTCTCTCAGTTTTAAATCTAAAACATTTAGTTTATTTTCAAGTATAAATTATGATTTGAATCCCAGATTTTCAATGTGCTCTCAGACCTTTGGACTCTGCTATAATATTAATAAAATACAAACGAGGCAAATGAAATTGATAAGCATTGTTAATAAATGTATTACATTTTTTATTAATATTTTTTATTTTATTTTATGTTTATTAACATTTTTTATTTTATTACATTACATGGTACTATCATGTTATTCCTCCAAAGTACCTTGGAAAATGCTATAACGAAAACACTGTAGCATAAAAATATGGTAATCATTCACTCCCATGGTAAAATACTGACCGTAAAATACTGAATTCCAAAATATGTCTGATGCAACCTCAAACCTCAAATTTGACAAGAAGAATGAATATATAATAAGTTTAAAACCAGAGTAATTTTTGTCTTTTTCTCTGCGTTTCCTTCAGGAGGAGTGTCGTAATTATATTAAGGTGTTGTTGAGCCATGATGGAGGGCTGTTTGTGTGCGGGACAAACGCTTTCAACCCGCTGTGTGCCAATTACACGGTGAGTGTTCCTCAGTGCCTGCAGATTTCACCGTCTCCCCTGTGTTTACCCTCAGCAAACATGTAGCGCGTGTAAAGCACAATTCTACACAAACAACACAAGGTACAATTCTGTTCATCCGTCTATATGTGGAAGAAATTCCACAGGAGCTTTTATTTTATTTTATTTTTTGTAGCAAAACAAACAGTTAAATAATGCTGCGTATCGCTGATCTTTTCTCCGTCTTACCCTACCCTTTCATGTGTGACCCAACACACACACACACACACTGTTTTTGTTCATCTCTCTCTCCTTCACACACATTTTAATTAGGATTCAAATGACTTTGTTAAATGACATGGAAGTCAAATGCTACCAAGTCATTGTGATTCAAAGAGGATCAGCCTGGCAAAATAAATACAGAGAGTCTGATACCATCACCGCTGTTTCCACACAATAATTAATAAGTATAGTCATTTCTATAGTGTTTATTCATTTTGAGATAACATAATTATACAAACTCTCTCTCTCTCTTTCTCTCAGTTTTAAATCTAAAACATTTAGTTTATTTTCAAGTATAAATTATGATTTGAATCCCAGATTTTCAATGTGCTCTCAGACCTTTGGACCCTGCTATAATATTAATAAAATACAAACGAGGCAAATGAAATTGATAAGCATTGTTAATAAATGTATTACATTTTTTATTTTATTTTATGTTTATTAACATTTTTTATTTTATTACATTACATGGTACTATCATGTTATTCCTCCAAAGTACCTTGGAAAATGCTATAACGAAAACACTGTAGCATAAAAATATGGTAATCATTCACTCCCATGGTAAAATACTGACCGTAAAATACTGAATTCCAAAATATGTCTGATGCAACCTCAAACCTCAAATTTGACAAGAAGAATGAATATATAATAAGTTTAAAACCAGAGTAATTTTTGTCTTTTTCTCTGCGTTTCCTTCAGGAGGAGTGTCGTAATTATATTAAGGTGTTGTTGAGCCATGATGGAGGGCTGTTTGTGTGCGGGACAAACGCTTTCAACCCGCTGTGTGCCAATTACACGGTGAGTGTTCCTCAGTGCCTGCAGATTTCACCGTCTCCCCTGTGTTTACCCTCAGCAAACATGTAGCGCGTGTAAAGCACAATTCTACACAAACAACACAAGGTACAATTCTGTTCATCCGTCTATATGTGGAAGAAATTCCACAGGAGCTTTTATTTTATTTTATTTTTTGTAGCAAAACAAACAGTTAAATAATGCTGCGTATCGCTGATTCTGTTACATATTCTGTGTTGTTTGCATCATGTCACCCACCTCACAGTTTTACTACTAAACTCAATTTTCTCTTACAGTCATTAAGAAATGTTTTGTGAGTCAGATCCACTGAATCATTAGAAAGAATTGGTTCGGTTGAACTCATACAGTATGCATGTTTACAATGGATTAACCATAATGAAAGTGGATCAGCATTGATGGAAGGCCAATCGTCTTAATGATTAAAACTCAATAAATGGATGCACATAATCACATTAGGGGCTTCTGAGGAGATGATGCTCATTTGAATTGAATCGAAAGTGTGAATGTGAATTGTTTTGTGAGTGAATCTTTTAGGGACATGTCTGAATTATATCACCCCAAAATCAAAGGGAAAAAATAAGAAATTGTTTTGCATAAAGAAAATTAAGCATTAATATGGAAGCCTATTTCCGCCATGGAATAAAACTAAACAAAAGATCAAAAAGACAATTGTGACTTTTTTTGTTTCTCACAATTATGAGGAAAAACTTGTTGCTAGACCGTAAATACAAAAATTAAAAGATATAAACTAGCAATTCTGAGAAACAAAAGGTTAGACTTGCAAAATATAAACTGTTTTTCTCGCAATAGCAAGTTTACTTTTCATAATGCTGTAGCCACATCATAAAAAAATAAAAAGATAGTTGTGACTATTCTATTTGTGACTTTTTCTCTCAGAATTGTGACTTTATATCTCACAATTCTGTATTTATATATAGCAATTCTGACTTTATATCTTGCCATTCTGACTTATTTTCAGAATTTGTGAGAAAAAAAGTCAGAATTGTGAGATAAAAAGTCATTTATTTATTATTTATTTATTTATCTGGCATACATATATTACCAAAGAATTGAGGTTTTTTAGTGCGGTCAAGTGATTAATCGTGATTAATCATGATTAATCGTATCCAAAATAAGTTTTTGTTTACATAATATATGCGTGTGCACTGTTAATTATGTATATATAAATACACACACATGCATGTATATATTTAAGAAAAATATGTTACATTTATATATTAAATATATTTATATATGATATAAATTATATGAATATAAATATATACATGTAAATATTTTCAAAATATTTGCTGTATGCGTGTGTATTTATATATACATAATAGATATACACAATACGCACACATATATTATGTAAACAAACTTTTCTTTTGGATGCGATTAATCGCAATTAATCGTTTGACAGCACTAGTTTTTTTTTCATGTTCAGTTGGTCATATGGTATTTAATGTTTCATCTTCTTAATGCAAAATATATTTTCTTTCTTTTTTTCTTCTTTTTTTAATTTGTGGTGAAATTTCACATGGATACTTCATGAGAATCACCCTTTTGTTGCGAGCAGATTCTTTCAGGCCACATCTTCAAATCTTTGTTTTTACAGTATATTGCAACATCAGAGCTGATTTATTGCTTCATATAAAACTGAGAAAGCCTTTCTGGAGACAGTTTGGTAGGTTTGTTTTATTTGTGAGTTAAATCGTCACGCACTACAGTTGTGTTTGAAGTCTCTCTCACACATGCACATGCACTAACACTCACTAACACTCTCGACTGTTGCCGGAAGCGTGTAGAAATGATAGCAGCGCTTGTGAATGTGTTTGGAGATATGTGTGGTTTATAACAGCTATCATCCTCTCAGAGTGTCATATCCTGTCCTCACAAACAGTCTGTGTGTGTGTTTGTTCAGAGAGACACTCTGGAATTGGTCGGCGAGCCCATCAGTGGAATGGCCCGATGTCCTTATGATCCCAAACACGCTAACGTGGCTCTGTTTGCAGGTAACTGACTGTCTTTTGTGGCTATGTAATGACTCTACCTCACATTATTTACATAATGGACTGATTTGTTTAGCACTTTTTAATCTGTGATTATAAGAGCAGTACACCTAGTAAATACACAGCATAATAATGTTTAATATCACCTAATTTATAGCTGTTTTATTTGCCTCCATAAATGTGTTTAACGACCTCTTCTTAACATCGTTAAGCTCAAGGACTTTCCGTTCGAACCTTTTGCCACATATATCATCATGGCACAATGTCGATGCTCACTTCTGGTTATTGACCGCTGACCTCTGCCGTTTGACCTCAGAGGGCAGCTTGTTCACGGGGACAGTGACTGACTTCCTGGCCATCGACGCTGTCATTTACCGCAGTTTGGGAGAGAGTCCAGCCCTGCGCACGATCAAGCATGATTCCAAATGGTTCAGAGGTACTGTTTCATGCATAAAATAAAACCATGAATGTATATAAATACATTGTTTTGTTTTGTTTTATTTGTCATCTGTTTTGTTCTTGATTTTGTTTATATTTAAGGAATAGTCTTGGGCATTTGTGGCATGCCACAGAACATTTTATTTATTTATTTATTTATTTAAAGAACTGAAAAATATTTCAACATTACTATGTACTAACAATTAGGGTTTTTCCTCAATGTCTCAATGTATCACAATAATATACAGTACGTATTATCATTCAAAAACGTTGGGGTTAGTAATTCAAGTAAAATAAATAAATCAATAACATTAATACTTTTATTCAGCAAGAACTGATCAAAAGTGACAGTAAAGACATTTATAATGTTGCAAACAAAAAACTTTTTCAAATAAATGCTGTTCTTTTGGACTTTCTGTTCATCAAAGGATCCTGAAAAAAAATTATTCCACAAAAACATTAAATATTTTCAACAAATAGAATAATAAGAAATGTTTCTTGAGCAGCAAATCAGCATATTAGAATGATTTCTGAAGAATCGTGTGACACTGGAGACTGGAGTAATGATGCTAAAAATTCTACTTTGCATAACAGGAGTAAATTACACTTTCAAATATATTCAAATATAAAACAGCTATTTAAAACGGTTTCATTTAGTAAAGCATTCATGAGCATTTTTTTCAGAAACATTAACATGATGCCAAAATGTTGCCAATCCCATTACTAGTGTCGTTTTTAAAATCTTGATTAGGTACTTTTCTCATCAAATATTGATGTATGCAATTAATTGTGATTAGATAATTTTTTTTATATTATTAAAAAAGACTTTGCATTACTAAAGTAATTCCTGTAGGAGTTATCAAAGCTCAGCTCCCATTTAAACTGAGGATTATGGATGTGCATCAACATCAACTAGTCAGTGGATTGTCTGATTTTTTTAAAAAGCCCTAGACTGTTTCATATCTAATAACAAGACACAATCAGAAGCGGTTTTAACATGATATTTTGGGCACTAAATATGGCCTTTCAATAGTACAACTGACAGATATTCAACACAGAAATAAGCTAAATAACTATGTTTTACAATAAAAAATGGGAACATTTTGGTCTAGTTGACTAGCTGACCATCCTCAGACATTCTTAGCTACACTCTTAAAAATAAAGCTTCTTTATTAGTATTGATGATTCCATGAAGAACCTTTAACATCCATGGAAACTTTCAATTCCACAAAAGCTTCTTTATTATGGGGGAAAAAAAATCTTTAGAATCTCAAAATGTTCTTCACACTAAGAAAAAACAGTTATTTACAGGAATTGTTCACTGAGAGGTTCTTTGGGGAACCAAAAATGGCCCTTCTATGGTATCACTGGCTTACTCTTAAAAATAAAGGCTCTTTATTGGCATTGATGGTTCCTTTAAGAACATCCAAAGAACCTTTCCATCACACAAAAGGTGCTTCATAGTGAAAAAAAGGTTCTTCAGAAAATTAAAATGTTCATCACGCTAAAAAAGAACTGTTCGCTGTAAGGTTCTTCTGTGGCATCACTGTGAAAAAAACATATTTAGAAAATGTATTTTTAAGAGTGTTGCTTAGTTGGTCCTAACATAAGTTGAAACACTATATTTGTGTATTTTAAACATTATTTTTAGTGCTACAGAAACGGATTCAAACAAGGGACAGGTCAAACTTATTTTCTGTTCATCATACCGCATAAACCGTCAATAGAGCAAAAGCTGCACTTAACCTGGATTACTCCTTTTAAAGTCCGTTTTTCAGTTTAGTAAAAATGAATTGCATTTGTCTCACTCTGCAATCTACCTGTCATCCTGAAGTGGGGTTTGTTTTGTAGATTTCAAAATAGTTTCAGGACGCAGCTCACAGCACTGAATTCTGAGTGTGATTTCACACCAGACACACCGAGAGTGCTAACAAAACCAAATAGGATTATTTTTTTCACAAATATGCGAGACCTTGTAACAACGGGAAACTGCACGGAGCTCTTAGAGCCTCATTCAGATGAGAATAGGTGGATGTGTGTGTAATTTAGAGCTCTCTGTTTGAACTTTGAATACTGGAGAGCTGTGAGTTGAATATCTCTATAAAAGAATCATTGAAGGAGTGAGACCAACATCCCGTATGGAGCTGCAAAGACCTGCGTCTGCTTTCTAAAACACATACTCCTGTAGGAGTTAACAAAGGTCCAGTCCCATTTAAACTGAGGGTTTTTGGAGTGCAACAACATCAAATAATCAGTGGATTGTCTGATTTTTTTAAAAAGCCCTAGACTGTTTCATATCTAATAACAAGACACAATCAGAAGCGGTTTTAACATGATATTTTGGGCACTAAATATGGCCTTTCAATAGTACAACTGACAGATATTCAACACAGAAATAAGCTAAATAACTATGTTTTACAATAAAAAATGGGAACATTTTGGTCTAGTTGACTAGCTGACCATCCTCAGACATTCTTAGCTACACTCTTAAAAATAAAGCTTCTTTATTAGTATTGATGATTCCATGAAGAACCTTTAACATCCATGGAAACTTTCAATTCCACAAAAGCTTCTTTATTATGGGGGGAAAAAAATCTTTAGAATCTCAAAATGTTCTTCACACTAAGAAAAAACAGTTATTTACAGGAATTGTTCACTGAGAGGTTCTTTGGGGAACCAAAAATGGCCCTTCTATGGTATCACTGGCTTACTCTTAAAAATAAAGGTTCTTTATTGGCATTGATGGTTCCTTTAAGAACATCCAAAGAACCTTTCCATCACACAAAAGGTGCTTCATAGTGAAAAAAAGGTTCTTTTTATTTAATTTAAATGTTCATCACACTAAAAAAGAACTGTTCGCTGTAAGGTTCTTCTGTGGCATCACTGTGAAAAAAACATATTTAGAAAATGTATTTTTAAGAGTGTTGCTTAGTTGGTCCTAACATAAGTTGAAACACTATATTTGTGTATTTTAAACATTATTTTTAGTGCTACAGAAACGGATTCAAACAAGGGACAGGTCAAACTTATTTTCTGTTCATCATACCGCATAAACCGTCAATAGAGCAAAAGCTGCACTTAACCTGGATTACTCCTTTTAAAGTCCGTTTTTCAGTTTAGTAAAAATGAATTGCATTTGTCTCACTCTGCAATCTACCTGTCATCCTGAAGTGGGGTTTGTTTTGTAGATTTCAAAATAGTTTCAGGACGCAGCTCACAGCACTGAATTCTGAGTGTGATTTCACACCAGACACACCGAGAGTGCTAACAAAACCAAATAGGATTATTTTTTTCACAAATATGCGAGACCTTGTAACAACAGAAAATTAAAATGTTCATCACGCTAAAAAAGAACTGTTCGCTGTAAGGTTCTTCTGTGGCATCACTGTGAAAAAAACATATTTAGAAAATGTATTTTTAAGAGTGTTGCTTAGTTGGTCCTAACATAAGTTGAAACACTATATTTGTGTATTTTAAACATTATTTTTAGTGCTACAGAAACGGATTCAAACAAGGGACAGGTCAAACTTATTTTCTGTTCATCATACCGCATAAACCGTCAATAGAGCAAAAGCTGCACTTAACCTGGATTACTCCTTTTAAAGTCCGTTTTTCAGTTTAGTAAAAATGAATTGCATTTGTCTCACTCTGCAATCTACCTGTCATCCTGAAGTGGGGTTTGTTTTGTAGATTTCAAAATAGTTTCAGGACGCAGCTCACAGCACTGAATTCTGAGTGTGATTTCACACCAGACACACCGAGAGTGCTAACAAAACCAAATAGGATTATTTTTTTCACAAATATGCGAGACCTTGTAACAACGGGAAACTGCACGGAGCTCTTAGAGCCTCATTCAGATGAGAATAGGTGGATGTGTGTGTAATTTAGAGCTCTCTGTTTGAACTTTGAATACTGGAGAGCTGTGAGTTGAATATCTCTATAAAAGAATCATTGAAGGAGTGAGACCAACATCCCGTATGGAGCTGCAAAGACCTGCGTCTGCTTTCTAAAACACATACCGCTCAAGGAGAGAGAGAGGAGAGGCCAAGACCTCCGAATGTCCTCTCTTCACTCTCTTTGCTTTATTTAAGAGGACATGCATGTTTTATGCGGACTATCTCTGCCTCATTCAGTTCTCTCGCTGTATATCTCTTTCTCTCCCCGCCTCCCTCTGGGACTGTGCATATGTTGTTTGTTCAGATGAAATGTCTTTATAATGACTGATGAGTGTTTACTTATTTGAGCTGCAATTTCTCCATAGGACGCCCTCAGACTGTAAAATTAAAGCCTGTGTTTGTGTGTGTGTCTTACAGAGCCTTATTTTGTGAGCGCCGTGGAATGGGGGCCTCATATCTACTTCTTCTTCAGGGAGATGGCCATGGAGTTCAACTACCTGGAGAAGGTAAGAAAGAAAAATACAGGCGGAGATTTACGCTGCTGTTCAAAAGTTTGGGGTTGGTAAAATTTGCTGTATTTGAAAGAAGTCTCTTTTGCTCACCAAGGCTGCAGTTATTTGATTAAAAATAGAGTAAAAATGTGAAATATTATTACAGTTAAAAGGTTTCTATTTGAATGTGATTTAAAAAGTCATTTATTTCTGTGATGCAAAGCTGAATTTTTAGCATCATTACTTCATTCTTCACTGTCACATGATCTTTAAGAAATCATTCTAATATAGTGATTTGATTATAATATTTTTGTAGAAATTGTGATTTTTTTTTTGTTGAGTAGAAAGTTGAGAGGAATGACATTTATTTGAAAAAGAATCTTTTGTGACATTATAAATTTATAAACTTTTTATCAATTTATTGCATCCTTAAAAAATGAGTGACCCTAACAGTCCATTCTTACCACTTAATGTTGATAATTAATCAAGGTGGTATTATCGCACTCATAACTTGCACATTAATATACAGTTTGATTGTCCATGAATAGCTATAAATGACAATTCAGTATTGAGAAACTTGATAGTGCGCCGCCCATTACTCAGAGGTCAGCCAATCATAACACTTTAACATTGACATATTAAAGGTACAGTACTGTAAAGATCTGGTAGCAATGGTATTTTTAATTTAAAGGAGTAGTTTACCCAAAAATGAAAATTTGCTGAAAATGTACTCATCCTTAGGCCATCCAAGATGTAGATGAGTTTGTTTCTTCATTGGAACAGACTTTCTAATGTAGTGTAGCATTATATCACTTGCTCACCAGTGGATCCTCTGCAGTGAATGGGTGCCGTCAGAATGAAGAGCTAATAAAAACATCACAATAATCCACAAGTAATCCACACCACTCTAGTCCATCAATTACCATCTTGTAAAGCGAAAAGCTGCATGTTTGTAATAAACAAATCCATTATTAAGACTTTTTTCTTCAAACTAATATTGTTTTCTCCATTTCCTTTAATTGAAATGAAAGTGAGAAAATGGTTTGGGCAAAACTAAATTATGACGACTTTTGGCACAAGAAGCCTTAAAGGTCCCATGACATGCTGCTATTTAGATGCTTTTATATAGGCCTAAGTGGTCCCTAGTACTGTATCTGAAGTCTCTTTCCCGAAATTCAGCCTTGGTGCAGAATTTCAGCCACTACGAGCCAGTCCCACAATGAGCTTTCCTTAGGACGTGCCATTTCTGTGTCTGTAGCTTTAAATGCTAATGAGGAGGAGAGAGGCGGGCCAACTGCCAAGCTTCGCTCGTTTGCAAGCCATGATGTCTCTCGAGGAAAAAAAAACATGAAGGGAACATAAACATAAAGGGAAGATTCCAGATTGGGCCATCTGTGCTTTCATTTTCTCAAAGGCGAAGCAGGATACCCAGGGCTCAGTTTACACCTATCGCCATTTATAGCCACTTGGGGGACCATAGGCAGGCTAGGGGAACTCATATTAATGTTAAAAAAACTCATAAAGTGAAATTTTCATGCCATGGGACCTTTAACCAACTTTATAATCGGACTGTTAAAAGAAACAAATAATAAAATGCAATAGAGCAGAGCATATGGCCCCTTTAGGTTTTTACGCTATTGTCAAACAACTGAATTCTCACGATTGAAGTGTGATGTTGAAAAGCAGTTCTCCAGTGAATAGTCACTTTGATTGTAGCTCTGAATAGAGGCTGTGTGGAATAAAAACTGAACTCTTTTCTTTTTGAATATGTGTGTGTGTGTGTGTGTGTGTGTGTGTGCGTGCATTAGGTGATGGTGTCCCGCGTGGCACGTGTGTGTAAAGGTGATTTGGGCGGCTCTCAGCGGGTGTTGGAGCGCCAGTGGACATCGTTTCTGAAAGCGCGTCTGAACTGCTCGATCCCGGGAGACTCGCACTTCTACTTCAACCTGCTGCAGTCCACAAGCCCCATCATACGCATGCAGGGCAGGGATGTCATCCTGGGGGTCTTCTCAACACCCTCCAACAGGTACACACACTCATACAGGAGGCATCCTAAAGAGGACGGTGTGATCATTTGCATTATATTGGAACAATCTGTGTGAGTGAATGATGATGAATGCAGATGAGACAGTAATGTGATTCAACAGCCCTGATGCAAATAAGGACAAAAACCTTTGAGAAGGTTATTTCCTCAAATCATATTGGCACCATTTATTGTCTTATCAGTTTACATTCCCAGATCTCTCTGGTTACTATTATTTGTAAGGCACTGTAAAAGTGAATTTTTTTAAGAACTTACCTGGTTCACATTTCACACCAAAGCCAAAAGAAAGAAAAGGTTTATTTTAAAGATCATAAATATAGTTATTTATTTTATGACAATAATGATATAATAATTATATATTTCATTTTGTTTATTTTCATGTCAGTAATATCCTGCAGCAAAAAATAATGTTTGTTTGTGTCACGTTGCTGCTGTGTTGAGGAGCAAGGAGATGACAAGAGTTTCACAAAGAACAGTCTTTATTAATCCACACAGGGGGAACACAGGGAAGGCAGGAGACACACACACACGTATTACTGACGTTAACACCGGACAAAGGAAACCAGGAACAGACAACAGTTTATATACACGACTAAACGAGGGTAATGAACGGGACACACCTGAACCAGAACCATACTCCTGACAGTTTGTTTATTACTATATGATATTATTTTCGTGACAATTAAACATATTTTTCCCACCAAATTTTTAGAAATACAATATAAAAAACATTTATTTTTAAATGTCATTAATGTTATATATTTTCATTACAATAATTATATATATATATATATATATATATATATATATATATATATATATATATATATATATATTTATATATTTATTTTTTTTTTATTTTTTTTTTTTATGGCAAGCTGAATTTTCAGGAGCCATTACTCCTGGCTTCAGTGTCACATGGTCCTTCAGAAATTATTCTAATATGTTGATTTGTTGAAAACATGATTCATAGCACTAGAAAGTTCTAAAAAAAACATTTATTTGAAATCGAAATCTTTGGAAAATTATACGTCTTAACTGTTACTTCTGATCAATTTGATGAATGCTTGCTTAAGAAAAATATGAATTTATTTATAATAAATCTTACTAAGACCAACCTTTTGAATGGAAGATTATACTGTACATTAGTTACTCGTATTTATATATCTTATATTAAATAATTAATAGCATTTAATATATTAATAAATTATCAGATACTAATTATCAGAACTCATTTATTTTTACAATCGGGCAGATATATTTACACTAGATTTTTTAGTTTAACAATCATCTGTAGCACAATATAATTGTGTGTGATCTTACCAGACCCTCTGTAGGTTTAATATTAGCCAGTTGAACCACCTCTAGATGTGCCGACTGGGAGACCAGGGGGTCTGACGACAATATATATATAGTTATTTATTTATCTTATTTATATTTATTTATTTATTCTGTCTAGCTATGCAATTATTTTCTTAGTTTCATGTCAAGTAGTCATATTTTTCTACCAAATTCCTATAATTATAATGAATTTTTTCAAATCTAGTGACAGTAATTAAAATAAAGAGAAATAATGATTCATTTTATTATTTTATTTTATTTTTCTGCATTTTTTATGACAGTCAAGTATATTTTTCCCAACAAATTCTCATCGAATTCTAAGTACAGTAATTAAATAACCATAATTATATACAATGATATGTTGATGCTTTTAAAATATGTACTGGTTAAAATTGAACTGATATAGTAATATTTTATGTAATAGTAATCTAATAAGAATCACCATTGACAATAATGAGAATTTCACAAAAATGAATGAAACATCCACGCACAGTTATGAGAATGAGATTTTTTTCATTAAGGTGATGAGGGAGAAAGTTCTTAACTGTCATTAAAATAATATCTTAAAATATACTCTTTTTTGTAAGTAAAATATAATTTCCTTTGGGGTTGGTGGTGAAATATGATGTGGGCATGTTTTTGTGACATTCACCCCGTAAATGTGTAAAGATTATGAAACGTAACTAAATTGAAGGGAAATGGAAAGCGGTTCTACACACGCACGTACGCACGCTCCTCTGTGATTTCGCTTCTTATTAGTCTGTTTTGAACCCGAGCAGCACGAATGAATCCAATTTCAAGGCAATTTGGATTTTGTTCTTTTGATATTCTGCCTACAAGGCCTGTTTTTTCTCCAGAAGAAAGACGGAGTGAAGAGTCGTGAGAGTTTGATTGTCTCGGGAGAAAGACTGTTTAAAATTCTGTTATCGGAGATGTTAAGAAACGCCATAAACACATTTTAACAATGGACAAAACACTGATCTGCTTTACTCAGGATCATAAATGGCCAGCTCACATTGTGCTGTAGTTTACAGTAACAGTTGTGACATCTGTCAAAATGTGCGAAGGGAGCGAGTCAGAGAAAGAGAAACAACTATACATTTAGAGAAATGTGCTTCTGCCTGGGAAGCCTGCACAAAATGTACCATAGTAGCTGTTTTAGACACTATTATGATGGAAATACCATGGTATTCTATGAGATACTTTACAGTACTATTTATATTGCATGGTCTATTTACATTTCTGCATTTGTCAGACACTTTTATCTAAACTTGTGCCATGGTACCTTTCAAACGGGTTTTGTTAATTTGGTTTTTGTAAATAAATGAATGCATTTATTTATCAAGGATGCATCAAATTAGTTAAAAGTGATAGAAAAAGTTTAGAATTTTACAAAATATTTCAATTTCAAATAAATGCTTTCGATTCACAATTTTAACTTTCTTTTCAACATTATTTTAAATACTTTTTATTCATAAAAGTGTCCTGAAAAATAAAATTAGGGCTTTTCCCCACAGAATTATTAAAAAGCACAACTGTTTTCAACATTGATAATAATAAATATTTATTGAGCAGCAAATCAGCATCATAGAATGATTTCTGACGACTGGAGTAATGATGCTGAAAATGTAGCTTGGCATCACAGAAATAAATTGCATTTTAAAATATATTCAAGCAGAAATCAGCTATTTTAGATTGTAATAATATTTCACTATATTACTGTTTTTACTGTATTTTTTAATCAAATAAATACAGCCTTGTTGAGCATAAGAGACTTCTTTCAAAAGCATTATAAAACAGTTGTGCGTATTAATATGGTATTTCGACAGTACTATAGTAATTATGTGATGCAACATTAGTCCTAACTCATTTGCTGATCCTTTATGCTGATTATTTTACAAGAGTATCATGTATTACCATTACCACAGGCTGCAACATTTCGAAATGGGTGCCAGATACTCCATGATTGACACATGCAGTAACTGTAAAATATCTCTTTGTCGTATCACAGAGCTTTTTTACAGTGGCACAGCATACCTGGGAGTATAAATGTTCACTGGAACAAGCTAAAAAACTAAAGATTTGACGTTGAATTCAACATTGAATTGCGCTTTGGCGCAGCGCGACTCTTGAAACAACAGGGCTTGAAATAACTCCCAATAGAGAATCGACATTTACATACTGTAGACCCAAAAATAAAGGGCTACGGCGACAAAGAGAGGAAAAGAGATGGCCAGCCGATAATCTGAGCTCATGGGCTTATGAACGAGAATTAATTGTTCTGTGCTGTGCTGTGCTGAGCTAACTGGATAAACAGTCAAGTACATCATAAAACCAGCCCAAATGTTGTTCCCGAGAGCTCGTAACACACTGTAAGAGCCCTCACTAGTCTACAGGCTCCGCGGGTAGCATACGATGAGTGAGTGTTCAGCATGATATACTGCCGTCCATCAGGCGGATGATGAGGGCCATTTTCACTAGATTACCTCTCATTGTGTTCGTATGATTAGAATAAAAATGAGCTTCGTCATCAGCTTCCAGGGGAATGTTTTTGGTGTTGTATCTGCTCTCAAGAGCAAATCATAGGACAGCCGCTGAGAAAGGAAAGGGATAAAGATGAATGAGAAGTTAGACATCATTTGAGGGGACAATGTGTTCACCGTGTGAAAGATGCACTTATTTATGTGTGTACTGTGACCGCTTTTGGTTTATGTTTTGTTCTCTGCATGTGAATGAAGAATAACGCAATAAGTCACGAGTGACTGTCAATAACAGTGATTTTACTTCAGGTAATCTCTCTTTGCCATATAACAAATCACTCTGACGCACAACCTTTATTGGCATACTGCCTTTTTAATAATCATTATCATTATTACTATTATTAACAACAACAATAATAATAATAATTATATTGTATAATAAGTATATTGTTTGGCTCAAGAAAAATTTAATCTGATTGTTATTATTAGTAGTAGAAGTTGTAGTATTGAATGGTCTCTCAATACTTTATTATTATTATTATTATTTATACAACATTAGCCGATTTCTGTATTAATATTTAGATTTTACTTGGTAACAATCAACATACTACAGTTAGGATAATAAAGTATATTGTTTGGCTCAAGAAATATTAAATCTGATTGTTATTATTAGTAGTCGAAGTTGTAGTATTGAACGGTCTCTCAATACTTTATTATTATTATTATTATTATTAAATACCCATATATAAGCCATATATTAATATATAACCATACATATGGTAATATATTCACATATTATTGTTGTTGTTGTTGAACAGTGCCAGATTTCTTTAGTAATATTTGTGTATATTATTTGATATTATTATTATTGACCATATATGACCATTATATGACCATATATAAGCCATATGTTAATATATAACCATACATAGGATAATAAATTATATTATTTGTGAAAAATTATTATTATTGTTGTTGTTGTTGTTGTTATTGTTATTATTGACCATATTTATGTATTAATATTTTGTATGTTTGTTTGCAACCATCAACAACAGCCTACAATTAGGCTAATGAACTGTGTGATTTGGTCCAAGAATTGTTTATTATTATTATTGTTCTTGATATTATTAATAATAATAATAATCCAAATGATATTATAGT